GCGGCGCTGGGGGGGCGCGGGGGGGGCGCGGCCGTGGCCCGGGAGCGCTTCAAGGTGGTCTTCGCCCCCCTGATCTGCCGGAGGACGTGTCTGAAGGGGCTGTGCCGGGACTCGTGCCAGCCCGGCTCCAACATGACCCTGATCGGCGAGAACGGGCACGCGGCCGACACGCTGACCGGCTCCGGCTTCCGCGTGGGTGAGTGACACCGGGACAGCGATGGGGACAGCCTTGGGGACACCGGGACAGCCTTGGGGACAGCCATGGGGTCAGGGACACACTGACCGGCTCCGGCTTCCGCGTGGGTGAGGGGCACCGGGGGACAGGGACAGCCTTGGGGACACGGGGACAGCCTTGGGGACAGCCTTGGGGACACCAGGACAGAGATGGGGACAGCCTTGGGGACATGGGGACAGCCTTGGGGACAGGCACACGCTGACCGTCTCCAGCTTCCGCGGGGGTGAGTGACACCGGGGGACAGGGACAGCCTTGGGGACAGGCATGGGGACACGGGGACAGCCACGGGGCCAGGGACACGCTGACCGGCTCCGGCTTCCGCGTGGGTGAGTGACACCGGGACAGCGATGGGGACACGGGGACAGCCTTGGGGACAGCCTTGGGGACACCAGGACAGAGATGGGGACAGCCTTGGGGACATGGGGACAGCCTTGGGGACAGGCACACGCTGACCGTCTCCAGCTTCCGCGTGGGTGAGTGACACCGGGGGACAGGGACAGCCTTGGGGACACGGGGACAGCCTTGGGGACACGGGGACAGCCTTGGGGACAGTCATGGGGACAGGGACACGCTGACCGGCTCCGGCTTCCGCGTGGGTGAGTGACACCGGGGGACAGGGACAGCCTTGGGGACACGGGGACAGCCTTGGGGACACGGGGACAGCCTTGGGGACAGTCATGGGGACAGGGACACGCCGACTGGCTCCGGCTTCTGTGTGGGTGAGTGACACCAGGACAGCGATGGGGACAGCCTTAGGGACACCAGGACAGGGATGGGGACAGCCCTGGGGACAGCCTTGGGGACATCGGGACAGCCTTGGGGACAGGGACACACTGACCGGCTCCGGCTTCCACGTGAGTGACACAGGGATGGGGACATCCTGACTGGGTCTGGCTTCTGAACGGGTGAGTGGCACTGGGGGACAGGGATGGGGACAGCCTTGGGGACACCGGGACAGCCATGGGGACACGGGGACAGCCTTGGGGACACGGGGACAGCCTTGGGGACAGGCACACCTTGACTGGCTTCAGCTTCTGAGTGGGTGAGTGACACGGGGACAGGGATGGGGACATGGGGATAATGATGGGGACAGGGATGGGGACACAGGGACAGGGTTGGGGACAGGGATGGGGACACGGGGACAGGGGTGGCTGAGGTGTGGGGACAGCGCTGGGGCTGTGATGAGGATGGGACAGGGAGGGGACAGGGATGGGGACATGGGGACAGGTTTGGGGACAGGGATGGACACAAGGACAGGGATGGGGACAGGGCCAAGGAGGGGACAGGGACAGTGGGGACAGCGGGGATGGGGCTGTGATGGCAGCAGGACTGGGGTGGCACCAAGGGGACAGAGGGACCTGGGGGGGCTCGGGGTGGTCTCGGGGTGTCTCAGGGTACTTGAGGGCGTTTTGGGGGTCTCAGGGTATTTGGGGGCGCTCCGGGGGTCTCAGGGTATTGGGGGCAGTGAGGGAAGCAGGACTGGGGTGGCCCCAAGGGGACAGAGGGACCTGGGGGGGCTCGGGGTGGTCTCGGGGTGTCTCAGGGTACTTGAGGGCGTTTTGGGGGTCTCAGGGTATTTGGGGGCACTCCGGGGGTCTCAGGGTATTTGGGGCGCTCCGGGGGGGCCTCGGGGTATTTGGGGGCACCGCCCGGCGGGGGTCTCTCCCCCGGATTTTTGGGGGCGCCGCGAGGGTCTCAGGGGTCTCTCTCCCCACAGTGGTGTGCCCCCTGCCCTGCATGAACGGCGGCCAGTGCAGCTCCCGCTCCCACTGCCTGTGCCCCCCCAACTTCACCGGCCGCTTCTGCCAGGTC